TATTTATTTATTATGTATACAATATTCTCTCTGTGTGTATGCTCGAAGGCCAGAAGAGGGCACCAGACCCCATTACAGATGGTTGTGAGCCACCATGTGGTTGCTGGGAATTGAACTCAGGACCTTTGGAAGAGCAGGCAATGCTCTTAACCTCTGAGCCATCTCTCCAGCCCCATAAGATAATATATAAGTAAATATTTTTCCTACTTTCTTGTTTGAGACAGAGTTTCTCTGTGCAGCCCTGACTGTCCTGGAGCTTAATAGGTAGACCAGGCTGGCCTTGAATTTGCAGAGATCCCCCTGCCTCTCTGCCTCTGTCTCTGGAGTATTGGGATTAAAGGTGTGGGTCACCAGTCTTTAAATCTTAAAAAAAGAAAGAAAGAAACAGAGCCAGGCGGTGGTGGCGCACAGCTTTTAATCCCAGCACTTAGGAGGCAGAGGCAAGTGGATTTTTGTGAGTCGTGAGTTCAAGGCCAGCCTGGTCTACAGAGAGTTCCAGGACAGCCAAAGCTATACAAAGAAGCCCTGTATTGGAAAAAAAAGATACAAAACAAAACAGAACCAGGCTGTCTGGATTTGAATCCCAGTGCGGCCACTTGTTAGCTGAGTGACCTTGGACAAGTAGTTTAATCTTTATTAGTGACCTTAGATGAGGAGTTTAATCTTTGTGCCTCAGTTTCTTCATCTACCAAGTAGGGATAATGACAGTACCTGATGCCCACGATTGTTATGAGGTTTAAACAAACCAATATTTGCCAAACCCTTAGCCTGTGTCCTGACATATGGTAAGTGCATGTGGCTGTTTGGCGCTGTTGCTGCTGTTTGGCAGGCTATCTCTTCAAGGCTTGTCTCTTATCTTCTTCAAAGCTACAAAGAATATTTTCCCATGCCAGGCATAGTCTTAGTTTGAGGTCAACTTGCTCTGTAGTGAGTTCTAGGCCAGCTAGAGTTTCCTGCCGAGACTCCGCCTCAGGTCTTGGCATCGTCCGGCCCCGCCAGCCATCGCTGTTCTCCTGGCTAGATTTCCCAAGGAGTGCTCACTCCCAGTCTTTCATCTTCCTGCTCTGTGTGGCCTCTCTGAACCCACAGAGGATTTTAACCTTTAGAACCTCACTGTGCAGGAAGATGTGGTTGCCACGTGGCTGAGGTTTCCCCTACTCCCTCCACCCTCCCACAGTCCCCGAGAGTCAGGGCAAATTTCTCAGGTGCAGCTGCAAGATCAATCTTTGCATTTGCTTGGCTTGCTTTTCCAGCCCTGCTCTGCCACCTCTACCTTGCTGTGTGGCCTTCAGATAGTTGCTTAACCTCTCTATGTCTCTCTTGGGAGATATCTATTTGAGGCTAACAAGGATACAAAGAGACAATGGATGTCTAGCCCCAAGAAGGTTCTTTCCCTGGAGGGCTCCTATACACTCCCAGTTTGGTCACCAGCCATGAGTGTGTCTGGAAACTCACCTGGGTTGAAGAGAATGGTTCCTTTCAAATAGGCATACTCCTTGGGACCCAGTTCAAGGCTCCAGAAAGACTCCAGACAACGCTGGAGCCACCGCACAGCAGCCAGTGAGGGTTGTGGCCGGTCTGGTTGCTGGGTACCCTGGGTACTGCTGCTGGGTTCCTCCAGTAGGATTTGTTTAAGTATACTGGGCACCGGAGCCTCAGCCACCTCAAAGGTCACAGTATCTTGGGCCAACCCAAGCAGGAAGAGAGGGCCCCAGCAGCCCCCCAGCAGCCGACGCTGATCCTCGCGGGGCAGGTGGCAGAAGGACGGCAGGTTCCGGAGGAATGCCACTGTCTTGGCTAGGACATCCAGAGCCTCCCGGCAGGTGCGGTGTGGGGCACACAGATGAACAGGCCGATGCTGCTGGCACAGACAGTGGCTGCGAGATGCCGGTGCCATGGGCCTGGACCTGAGGCTGGGGCTCAGCAGTGCATACAGAATAGCTGGGCGGCCGGCAGAGCCCTGGCATGGGCAACCCCCAGACTGGCCGGAGTTCATGGTTGGTGTCTTGTTCCCGTTTCTTCCCAGCTCTCTGGCCTTTCTGTACTGTGGGGCTATTTATATCCTCGATGGGCGGGAGGGGGGGAATGGCTGTGCAACCTTGACTCCAGAAGTCGTGTTCATTGAAAAAAAAAAAAACACATACACACACAATGCATACACACACTGACCCTGGCAGGACTGGTGAGGAAATGGTGGGGGAGGGGCACTGGAGCTCCACGTGGCCTTGCTATCGCTTTAGTCAATGAAGTGGCCATTGCAGGGCACAGGGCCACCTACCTGCCTTTTATCGGATGACTCAAGTGTATAAACAAGGTCATTAACCCAGGCTGTCCCAGGGCACCAAGGTCTCAGGTGCTTAGCCAGCCAGTGGCTCTGACTGCTGCTTCTGTTGGTGCCCACTTTCATGCACACAGGACCAGGGTTCTCACTGAGCCAAGGAGCCAGCCAGGGAAAGCTGGCGAAAGCCTTGACTGAGCGACCCAGCCTGGAAGTGCCTTATCGCGGCTGTGTTTGCCTAACCTTGGGGCTCTGCCCCTGTTGTTGGTGAGCAACAGGGTGCAGGGAAGGGAGCCAGGTCCCTGGGGACTTTACTCATTGTACAGTTTAGAAGGCCCCCTTCCTGGGACTCCAGCACAGGGGCCCCTTTGGAGGAAGGCCATTTGGAGCCCCCTGCTCCCAGCCTGCATTCCTACAGCTCCAGGGCAGCTGGCCCTGCTGGCCCTTGCAAAACCATGAGCTTGCCTGGCTACCACTTGTTGAAGACACACTAGACGTGGGTCACTTTCCATTGTGATGTTGGGGACTTCCGGAGGAGATGAGAGTCTTACTCTGTGACACTCAAAGAGGTGAACTGACCTGCTTAAAGTTACTCCAACGGGAAGGGATAGAGCACAGATACGTATAGCCTCAAAGTCACCCTTGTTTGTCCCCCTGGGTCAATTGTGCACTTCAGTGTGAGTTTCCCAGGACCGGTGGGGAGGAACTGACCGCCCCTCCCCCATCCCTGCCTGGTCTGCAGGTGTGGCCCGCCTCTGGAGTGAGTGGAAACATATCTCCGGCAGCACATGGCTTCTCTCTCCTGGATATTTGTCTCAAGTGGTTAGAGGCGAGGGTCAAGGGAAATGGCAGGTCCTGAGTTGTGTCAGGTTCCTGACCTCTGCTAGCCTTGCCTAGCAAGCTTGCTGTCGCCACACTCTTGGGCAACCTGGTGCTCCTGGATGAGAAGAGAGAGACTCTGGCGTCCTCCACCCTGGCATCAGGTCTTGGCTCCATGCTTGCCAGTCGCCCGTGTGACTGTCAACTGGCCTCCAGGGTTCTGTGAGCCTTGGCGTCTTACCTGAGACATTAAGGTCTCCCTGCGGTGCTGACTTGAGCGAGGTCCTGCAGAGACTGCACGTCCCATTCTAACCTTGCAGGCAGGCAGGCTGCTTCTGCTGTAATAGCCTATACCTCAGCCCAGGCCTCCCTTAGGAAAAGGACAGACTAGCAGGTATGGAAAGGAACACTCACAGTGAGAAAACCAACACAGACGGGAGCTGGGCGAGGTGGTCCTAGGTTGGTCCGAGAGGTTCCATTCCAATCTATCTCTTTCCTAGAAATGACACAGGAAGCCTGAGGCTCCATTCCTTTGTTGTTGTTTGTTTGGTGCTGATTGCTCACTCCGTAGCCCAGGCTAGCCTTGGATTTGCACTGTGTTGCCTCGGCCACCCAGCTGCTAGAATTACAAGTCTGAGCTACCACACCTACCTGCTGGCTGCTGCTTTTTAATTTCATTTATTGGGTATGATGGCTGTAGACAACATAAAATATGTTATTTTTTAAAAAATATTTATTGATTTATTATGTATACAATATTCTGTCTGTGTGTATTCCTGAAGGCCAGAAGAGGGCACCAGACCTCATCACAGATGGTTGTGAGCCACCATGTGGTTGCTGGGAATTGAACTCAGGACCTTTGGAAGAGCAGGCAATGCTCTTAACCTCTGAGCCATCTTTCCAGCCCCAAATATGTTATTTTTTTATTTTTTTTAAAGATTTATTTATTATGTATACAGTATTGTGTCTGCAGGCCAGAAGAGGGTACCAGATCTCATTACAGATGGTTGTGAGCCACCATGTGGTTGCTGGGAATTGAACTCAGGACCTTTGGAAGAGCAGGCAGTGCTCTTAACCACTGAGCCACCTCTCCAGCCCAAATATGTTATTTTTGTATGTATGAAGTGAAGCTAGTTCTACTTTCCACTTTTCTTTCTTTCTTTCTTTCTTTCTTTCTTTCTTTCTTTCTTTCTTTCTTTCTTTCTTTCTCTTTCTTCTTTTCTTTTTGCTTGCTTAATGAAACAATGCCTGCCTCTGTAGCTCAGGTAATCTTGGAACTCGGTGTAGTCGAGGCAACCTTAAACTCATGGCAGTCCTCCTGCATTTGCCTCCCAAGTTCCGGGAGTGAGGTCCAATGCCTTCCAAGCCTCACCTCCATACTTGTGTCTGCAAAACCCCTCTCCTGTCTGCCAGGACATAGGCCCCTCTTGTAGCTAGAAATGGGGCTCGCTACACACTGATCCTCACAGATGGACAGGCTGCACCTCCTGCTCCTGCTGAAATCAGGGGCTAGAGCCATCCTGAAAAGCCTCAGTCTCTACCTTCCACTTCCACAAGCAGACAGTCAGGCTTGTCCAGGGGAATTGCCTTGATTTGCTGACCCATGTTGTTTAATCATTTTTTAAAATTTTGTTTATTTTGTTTTTGTTTTTTTTTTTTTTTTTTTTTTGAGACAGGGTTTCAGGTGCTCTAGCCTGTCCTTGAACTTACTATGTAGCCAAGGCTAACCATTAACTCTTGGGATCCTCCTGTCTCCTCTTCCTCCTCTTTTTGCAGCACGAGGGCTTTGTTCTTGCTAGATAATACCCCAGTGCTCTACCCCCCAAATTATTTTTTTAGATTTATGTATGTGTTTTGCCTGTATACATATATGTGCATGCCTGGTGCCCAGGGAGGTCAGAAGAGGGTTCAGAGTCCATAGTACTGGATCAACACATGACTGTAAGGCACTGGGTGGGCTCTGAGAACCAAATCTGGATCCTCTACAAGAGCAGCAATACAGATACTCAGGCTGGCCTTAATCTCACTCTACTAGCCCAGGCTAGCTAGGTGGGTGTGAAATTGGGACCCTCTAAACTGCATCAGTTGTCGGCTTGTTTCCCCTAGCTGCTTGGTGCCAGTGGGTTTTTTTTTTTTTAATTTTCTGAGAGAGGGTTTTACTATGCAACCTTGTGTGCTGGCTAGTTTTATGTCAACTTGACAACTTGACACAAGGTAAAATCTTTTGAGAGGAGGGAACCTCAACTAAGAAAATGCCTCCATAAAAATCAGGCTGCAAACAAGCCTGTTGGGCACTTTCTTAATTAGTGATTAACAGGGGAGGGCCTGGCCCCTTGTGGGTGGAGCTATCTCTGGGCTAGAGGGCCTGGGCTCTATAAGAAAGGCATCTGCTGGGCGGTGGTGGCATTCCAGCCCCCAGGAGGCAGAGGCAGGCGGGTCTCTGAGTTCAAGGCCAGCCTGGTCTACAAGAGCTAGTTCCAGGACAGGAACCAAAAAACTACGGAGAAACCCTGTCTCTAAAATAAAAAAAAAATTATCAGGATAATATCAGAGGCTAACTAATGGGAGTTGATTCTCTTCTTCCCCCATGTGGAATCTGGGGATCGAACTCACAACATTAGACTTGACAACAAGTACCTTTACTTGCTGAACTAGCTCACCAGTCCACGGTCTGCATTTCATGGCCTCTGTCTAGTAGTGTATAAAGTATTGCTGTCACTATTTATACTGCCGAGCAGATGTTGTCAGCAGTTTGGTAATCAGAAGCGCGGTCTATGTGTCTAAGTCCTGGGGTCTACGTTCTTTTGATCTGCCATGTTGTTCTGTGAATATGCTTTGGTTCTCTGCTACAACAAGGCACCCATATTCCCAGGTCCTAGAATCAGCCGGTACTCCAGTCTGATTCTGGTGTGGGAGTTGTAGTTAATGGAGAGAGAGTGCCTACCGTACGTATCCAAGGCCCTGACTTCTACGCTGTACCCACGTAAGGGGGCGGGGGTTAGAAGGACTAATGGAAACCACATTCCTCAGAGCGGAAGACGACGGTGTCAACGCAGAAGGGAGGAGACACAGCAAAACCCTGTTCTACTGGATGGGAGCTGGCGATGATCATCCTCGGGTTTCTTTATATCTAAAGGTAGGAAATGAATGCAGGGAGTCGAGGAGATGGCTCACCAGTTACAGCACTTGATACTCTGGCAGAGGACCTGGGTCTAGTTCTCAGCATCCATGTGGCAGCTCACAACCAAGCATCAATAACTCTAGTCCCAGGGGAATCCAACACCCTCTCTGGCCTCTGCAGGCACTGCACACATATGGTGCACAGCCAGCCATGCAGGCAAAACACATACACATAAAATAAACCTAAAAAATTTTAAAATTGAATTATAATTTTTCTTTTCTTTTTTTTTTTGTTTTTGTTTTTCGAGACAGGGTTTCTCTGTAGCTCTAGTGCCCATCCCGGAACTAGCTCTTATAGACCAGGCTGGTCTCGAACTCCCAGAGATCCGCCTGCCTCTGCCTCCCGAGTGCTGGGATTAAAGGTGTGCGCCACCACCGCCCGGCTAATTTTTCTTTTTAAGCACCACAGAAACTGCTTCAACAGGGCTTCCCCCTTATTGGCTGTGGGGCTCAAAGAGGATGCAAAGCACCTGCGCACTCAGGCATGTCCCGGAGGCTGGTAGTCACCACTGCTGCTGCTTGTCCTCACTCTTTGGAAGAGGAAGCTGAGGAGGTGGAACCCCTCTGCCAGGCCAGAAGCTAGGTACCTCTCACTGTAGGGAGCTGTGTATTTCCTGTGCCCTGGGTATGTTAAGATCACACCTTAAAAGAGGACAGGCGTCATTTCTGGAATCCTTGGAGGGAAGAGAAGGCTGTGGTTAGGATCGCTATAGATCAGAGGCTGACTGGAGCCATTTGTTCAGAGAAGTCCAGGGCTTTTCTTCCTTCC